GGGCACCATCAAAAATGTGATCTCGGTCTCAGTGGGTTTTCCCTGGCTAAACAAAGGTTAAATAAAATTGGAAATACATTTCTAAAATATAGTAAAATTATTTTGTATAACTTTGATGATAAGTTATGCAACAAATTCTTCATATTCTGGAAATATTTTACTTTTATTTGATATATTATAGTTGTTTCTAATAAAATATTCTTGAGCTACCAATAGTTACAAATCATAATCTAAACCCATCTGTGATTCTCTGTTGAATATCTCCCAAGTGTAACAGTTAAGATAATTATCAATTACTTACTTTATTAGATAGGGTTTCAACACTAAATCAGTAATACTTTCTAAGCTAATTTTTTTGGAACATAATTTCTTAAGAATGCATTCTGAATTCAGAACTCTATTCACTATTTCAGTGCAAATGCTTTCTCCCACACATGCTAAACCGTTTATTTCTGCTTACAATTAAACTGACTGCGTTTTCTTTCTTTCTTTTTTTTTTGTCTCAATATGTGGCTTGCAAAATTGTGAAGGTATTTGTTCTTCTGTCAGCATGCCAGCACTGATTATCCTCATGCTTGCGTTGGAGTGAAGTAGCACCTACACATATTGTTGACGTGAGTGTCTTGCATTCAGTAGGTAGGACTTTAGACTCTGCAGTTATCCTGGAATGTGAAGTTATCACTTCACCCAACCTGTACAAAAAAATAAAGTTGCTGATCTTAAAGAGGTGCAGTTTTTGACCTCTAGTAGGTCTATGGTGCAATGTTTTGCTAGAATAGTTGGAGCCAGATGGTGACATGGTGAATGATCCGATGGCTAGTTGGTGAGCTGCTATAACTGGCAAACTAAATAGGCTAACTGGCCTAAGTGGGCTAGCGCTTGTCGGTCATAAAACCTCCTATAGCTTCCCTCTATTTTTTCTTGCCTGTTCTATGTCCCCCTGGCATTTTGGTCACCATTGCACACCATTTCATTCAATAGGATAATAAAGCTCTATGAGCTAACAAGCTATCTAACTGTCAGTTAGCACACTCGTCAGCTTGTTAGTTTAGCTTGGTTGCTAACAGGATCATTCAAAAGACGTATTTGTACCAT